GAAATTTAGTGTACAGGACAAATTCAAGAATATTAAATTGGGTATTATTAGGATTTGCTCGAAGGTGCTTCTGGTTCATGAGGGAGTTGAGGGAGAACATCTTTTGGCTTGATTTGTGAAAGGTCTATGTGAAGGCAGAATCTATAAATCCTCAAGGGCTCTTGAGTTTTAGATTTCATCGGATAATAATCATCGCCTCACTTAGGGAAGAAAGTTTATCCTATGTACTCATGAAATTTAATCATTATAAAATTGTGCCTGATGCTGTATTCCCTGCTAAAACTATTTGATTAAAGCAACGCAAAATGAATAATTCTGGACTATTATTTCACCCTTAATGAACAAAAACATGGTAATGCTTGGTTCACTTAACAACACCGATAAAGGAGGTTTTGACAGGTTTATTAGCTACAGAGTGACAAACACCCTTGTGCCCATTTCCAGGGCCCTAAAAATTACCAGAACAGTTAACAATTGCAACGCTAAAGTGAGAGGTGAGCGGCCACAACGCGAGTTTCTCTGGACCAGAAGATCCATTCCCTGCTGCTTGGAGGTTCGAGGTAACAGAGTGAGATTAGGGTGTGACTCACGGATTTAAGGTTGTTAATATTCTGGATGAATCACCTCGCCGCAGCCTTAATGAGGCCACTTTAGACAGCTACAGGTAATACCACGGCGCTGAAGTAAGCTTCCGGACCCCTTGGAGGAGAGGCTGCAAGCAAAGGTGCTTATCGCTACTTCCAGTGGTTACCTTTGCTTTTCGGAAAGCAGACACTGGCTATGGTTGGGTATTACAGAGGATTCTGTAACAATTTCTCCTCTGTGGCCGCCCCCTTAACGGACCTGCTCAGTCCAAAAGTGCCTTTTGTCTGGTCTACCTGTTGCCAAACTGCTTTTGAGCAAACAAAGACATTGTTGACCAAGGCCCCTGTGTTGGCTGCCCCAAAGTTTGATGTCCCTTTTAAACTTGCCGTAGACGCTTGTGACTCTGGCGTAGGAGCTGTTCTCCTTCAGGAGGGAACTGATGGAATAGAACACCCTGTTTCCTACTTTTCCAGAAAGCTGAATAAACATAAAAAAGGGTACTCTACTATTGAGAAAGAAGCGTTAGCCTTAGTTCTGGCCCTAGAACATTTTGAGATATACGTTGGTGGTTCTTGTAACCCCGTTACAGTGTATACCGATCACAACCCCCTTACCTTTTTAAACCGCATGTGTAATAAAAATCGCCGCTTGAGCTGGTCCTTGTGGCTACAGCCTTTTAATCTTGAGATAATACACGTTAGAGGTAAGGATAATATTATAGATGATTCTCTCTCTCGCTTCTGAGAGCCCTGCCCAACTTGTTTTTTGTATGGTGAAATGTATTATGTGTCACAGCATGCCTACATTTTCCCCCATACAAAAATATTGGCGGTGGGGGTGTTATGTACCCTAGGGTGCCCCTAGTGACACCTTCTAGGTTTTGTACATATGAGCTGCAGTTTTGTTTCTTCTTGGGCACGCCTCTCTATTTTAATCAGCTTAATTGTCGTCAGGTTGGGAGTTCTGACTGAAGCTCCTATATGAGCTTCAGAGTGTGGTTCTTAGAGTGCGGAGTCTTGAGGAACTCAGAGGTGGTGGTGCTGTTTGCTGCAGTGCTGTTTGGTACTAGGGTGTTCTCTGCCCACCCTTGTTGTCTTGTCATGAGGTAAGCTCCTGTTGAAGAGATGTGAAAGAGCTGCTGAGTGCTCTTTGTTTGAAATTTAGGCCTTGGTGCTTAATATGCATTTAGACCTTGAGTGTGCTTGTGGAAGCTTAGTTCAGCTCAGGTAGAGGGGCCTGAGCTGTGTGATTGTGGACGTTTGGGTGTTTCTGTTTATTGTCCAGGGAGGTGATTTTGCTGACCGTGGACGGTCCTGCGATTTGGGTCGGTTTTGTTTCTTTCCTCCCGTTCGCTGTAGTCATTCAGACTAAGGCCCTCTGACTGGGTGAGATTTGGTAGTCCTGTTTTCGTCTTTTTTCTTTACTCCTAGACATCTTTTGGACAGGTAGTCCGCTGTCTGTGAGGCTTCGATGACCCTGTACAGGATTGGCCCTGCTCAGGCGGCGTTATATTGATTTTGGCCAAACTCACCTGGTCCACCTTTCTTTTTATTACTTTACTTTCTTTTTGTTTGGTGACACGGGTCCTGAAGAAGGTGCTCTCCAGTCCAGGAGGGAGGAGCCCACGAAGACTTCGCCTGCTGCCCGGAGTGATTTATAAAACTTAGGTTTAATAAAGTTTTATTTTTAAACCTTCTTTTGGTGTCCTGTGTCCCTTAAATATGTTCGGTCTGAGCCGGCCGTAACAGAGTAGCTTTATTCGGCTTCCATATTCACTAAATTGGACTTACGCAACACGTATCATCTAGTGAGGATTAAAGAGGGTGAGGAATGAAAGCCTGCTTTTCGCACACCCCAGGGCCATTTCGAATACTTGGTCATGCCATTCAGCCTAACTAACGCCCCAGCAGTTTTCCAGATCCTAGTAAACGATGTACTCAGGGATTTTATAAATGACTTTGTTTTCGTCTACCTTGATGACATACTGATTTTTTTTCCCAGGTCTTGGAACAGCACATTCATCACGTCAGATGAGTCCTCCAGAGGCTATGAAAATCAGCTTTTTGTTAAATTAGAAAAATGCGAGTTTCATGTCAAAAGTTTCTTTCCTGGGACTCGTATTCGAAGGAGGCCAATACAGAACTGATCCAGAGAAGACCAAAGCAGTAGTAGAGTGGGCCGTCCTTGAGACTTGCAAACAACTGCAATGATTCCTGGGTTTTGCTAACTTTTACAGACGATTCATCCGTGATTACACCAGGATCACCGCCCCTCTCACTCAATTGACCTCTACTCTACGGACATTTAAATGGACTCATGAGGCTAACGAGGCATTTGGTGAGTTAAAGACATTATTTTCCTCCACTCCCATCCTTTGCCATCTTGACCCCAAAAAACAATTTATTCTTGAAGTTGATGCCTGAGACACAGGGGTGGGAGCAGTCTTATCACAAAGAGCTTCCTCCGACAATAAATTCACCCCTGTGCCTTCTTCTCAAAACGACTCTCTCCTGCCAAGAAGAATTATGATGTGGGCAACAGAGAACTACTGGCAGTAAAGTGAGCATTGGAAGAGTGGAGGCACTGGTTAGAGGGCACGGAGACACCTTTTCTAATATGGACAGACCATAAAAACTTAACTTACCTCAGAGACGCCAAGAGATTAAATCCAAGACAAGCACAATGGTCTTTATTTTTTACCCGGTTTAACTATGTTCTAATTTTCCTCCCATCCAGGGTTCACCGTCCGTCGCATCCTGGACGTGAGGCGCAGAGGCCAAGACTTCCAGTACTTGGTGGACTGGGAGGGATACGGCCCGGAGGAGAGATCGTGGATACTGCACTCCTTAATCCTCGACTCCAGCCTCACCTCAGCCTTTTTCAAGGCTCACCCTGAGAAAAGGTACAGGTCGCCGAGAGGCAATTCTTGTGTGTGTGTGTGTGTGTGTGTGTTGGGGGGGGGGGGGGGGGGGTTTTTTGGTTTTTTTTTTGCGGCCCCCCCGGGCCAAAAGGTGGCCGCAAAAAACCCACC